TGAAACAAAACTTTCTTCAAGTCTGTATTTTGCTGTTTGTTTGAAATGATAGTGTATCGTCAACTTAAAAAATGGTTATATACACCTGAATTGTATACCAAGCTTAACATTTTGAAGGGAAAAAAAAATCATTTTTGTAGGAAATATAATTCCAGAAAATAGACGCTGCGTTGCATGCAGGGGGGGGGGGTGTGTGTTCTACATCGGGTAAAAAAAAGAGGGTGTTGGGTGTCAAGAAACTGGTTGAAATTGAATCCATTTCCATTTTTGTTGCTTTGCAAGAAATACAAATATTAACATGTATAAAATTGTGCACCTAATGTTCCCATTGGAATTGCTTAGACATATAACGTATGCATCTATGCTTTAATGGTACTGAAAATTCAATTTACGTTATATGAACATAGAATGTATATTGCTCTATAGAGCGCATGTGATATGCAACTTAATTATTTACAAACCTTTTAAGGGTGGTGGGCGATCTTTGTTTAATTTGTGAGATTTGACGATAAAGTTTTCACAAACAATTAAACATTTCAGACATGTAGCAACAGAGGGTGGGGGGGGGGAAGCTTTTTTCTCCATTACTTCAACTATAGTAAATGTTCAGTGAAAGGCTTATTACCCCCCACCCCTACAATAGTGATGTACGGAAAATGTAGTGTAATAATTGGTACTGAAAGTAGTTGGCATTGAAAAAAGTTCGCCTCCCATCCCCCTCTAGGATTTTCGACTTTGTGCAAGTTTTCTCACCCCCCTTTTTTTGCCTTGTCAACTTTTCAGGTAAGTAAAAAAATTCTCTGGCTGACCCCCCCCCCCACACACACACTTTAAAAAACGATGCTACGTGGCTACCTTTGAAATAATCAACAGATTAAATGGTGGAAGGGGGGGGGGGTATGAATTAAGCTCTATAGATAAATCATGACAAAGAGCGTATATATAGATAAGAAAATTCATAAAATTCAATAATTTGAAATTATATAATCATTTTTTCCCCGTATACTTTTATTTTTGTATGATATCTATGTGCGATATTTACGTGATATTTAACAAACACTTCGTAATCAGGTAATGAAATATTTAAGCTTTTTATATTCTAAATAATGTGCGTTTCTCTGAGCAGATTAATAAAGTTTAATGTAGCATTTTAGGGAATATTGTCATTATGAAGCTTATCATCGGATTTGATAAAACTTGCTAAAATAAAAAGAAAATAATTTCATTTAAATGAAAATTACATTCGTTTTATTTTTACTAATAATTGAATCAAAGATTCTACACCCCTTTTACAAATGTGCTTAAACGGTTTCATAAATGTTTATAGTTAACAAAATTTGATGTGTATTATATTGATTTTGTATTTAAAAAAAAATTCTTTATATGGCTTTTCAACATCACGTAAATGTGTTGCCCTCCAACCGCTTTTATTTCAAAGACAACAAAACAAAGCATTATGTAGCTTTTTAATTATACACATGTTGTGTGTTAATTTCAGTTCACTAAATTTTTTGACTTTTCCCAAGATCGAATTGGTACTATAAATTGAGAATGTGTGAGTTATTACATTGTGCAGAAACAGGTTTAGCCTAGTTATTACACTGTGCAGACACAGGTTAAGCTTAGTTATTACATGGTGCAGACACAGGTAAGGCCTGGTTATTACATTGTGCAGACACAGGTTAAGCCTAGTTATTACACTGTGCAGACACAGGTTAAGCTTAGTTATCACATGGTGCAGACACAGGTTAAGCCTAGTTATTACATTGTGCAGACACAGGTTAAGCTGTATCAGAGGGGGACTTAACATAATAAGCTATTGCAAAGTGGTGTGACAATTACAGTTATATTATATTGTGCTGAGAGAACGAAGTTAAGCTATATTACATTTTGGTGTGAAAAGCTTTATTAAATTGTAGTGTGACAAGTTAAGCAATGTTACATTGATGTAATAAATTAAGCTTTATTACATTGTAGTATGACATGTTAAGCTATATTTCATTGTGGTATGACAAGTTAAGCTTAATTGTATTGTGGTATCACAAGTTAAGCTTTATTCCATTATGGTTTGACAAGTTAAGCTTTATAACATTGTGGTTTGACAAGTTAAGCTTTATTCCATTGTGGTTTGACAAGTTAAGCTTTATTACATTGTGGTATGACAAGTTAAGCTTTATTCCATTGTGGTTTGACAAGTTAAGCTTTATTACATTGTGGTATGACAAGTTAAGCTTTATTCCATTGTGGTTTGACAAGTTAAGCTTTATTACATTGTGGTATGACAAGTTAAGCTTTATTACTTTGTGGTATGACAAGTTAAGCTATATTACACAGTGATGTAACAAATTAGCTATATTTCATTGTGGTGTGACAAGTTAAGCTTTATTACAGTTTTGTGCAGCAAGTTAGGCTATGTAACATGTACATGGTGATATTAACAAATTAAGTTACAGGCTGGTGGAACAAGTTAGGCTATATTACACTGTGGTGTGACAAGTTAAGCCATTAATATTACAGGGTGGTGTAACAATTTAAGCTATACAACATTGTGGTATGTTTGGCATGTTAAGCTTTATTACATGGTGATGAAACAAGTCATTATATCACAAGGTGATGTGACAAATTAAGCTAATATACAAGTGGTGTCATTTTTACATTTTTTTTCCAGATAGGTGTTTATTATTAATTTCAAATTCTTGCACAGTCAAATACTAAAATAGTTTTATATTTAAATATTTTGTACATTAAAATTTTATGTTATTCCTTTTACAGAGTGAGGTGGAAAATATAAAAATATTAAATTAATACTTGAAAAGACAGTTTTTAAATCGACATCATTCTAGAAACATCTATATAATAATAACAATGTTCAGAGAAAAATCAAAGGTTTATTACAATTCTCTGTAACCTCCAATGTTTTGGAGGTCCATGTTTACTCTGCTCCTATTTTGTATTGTTTAATGGACTTTTAATCTTGAATACTGTTCGTTATCTCCATATGTACAAATAAATATATAAAAGTATTCGAGAACTGAATTCAGCCTCAATATTCAGCGTATTTAGTCTGATCATGAAGCAAGTGGTCCTAAAGAGGCCATAAAGCACATTTCAGTATGAATATGTAGATGATATGATTAAAACTGTGGAAATTGACCATTTTAGATACATTTCTTCATTTAATCCCCCCCACCTTCCCTGGATCGTGGCCCCATGTCCCAGGGTCCACAAGTGCAACAACCTTGAATCTTTGCAACTATATAATAATGATTCTCTCTAAATAACAGCCATCTGTCCTAAATAGCAAAGATTACAAAAATTAATGGGGTGGGTGATTGGGATGGGGGTCTGGGATATTTGCTGGATACTGACATATATGACTGACTTACTGACATATATGACTGACCCGACATTTAGATATATCGACAACGTATTGTCAATTATCAATGGTAATTTCCATTCTTATGTCGATACAACATATCATTGCGAGCTTGAAATAGAAGATACCAGAGTCTGACACATCTGTTTCACAGTTAGATATTTTACTTGATTGATTGATTGATTGTATATTGTTCAACGTCCCTCTCTAGAATTTTTCACTCATATGGAGACGTCACCGTGTGCCAGTGAAGGGCTTCAAATTTTGACCTTTACTCGGCACTCAGGGCCATTGAGCAGTGAGGGATCTTTATCGTGCCAACGCCTGCCGCTGACACGGGGCCTCGATTTTTAAGGTCTCATCCGAAGGACCCGCAACTTTCACTTCAAAGTGCCGAGCGCATGGCGAAGGAACAGTTGCTACCAATTTTAACGACTAGGTCAGTCGCGGCCGAGATACGAACTCATGACCTCCCGATCACGGAGCGAGCGCTCTACCGACTGAGCTACCATGAACGGTGATATTTTACTTGAAAAAGACTTTAATGGTAATCTAACAACTTAGCTCTAGGATAAATGTGATGACTTTAACTTTTCTATCGTCAACTTCCCTTACTTATGCAGCAATATACCTTCATCACCTGTATACGGAGTTTATATATCTCAGTTGATTAGACACACACGAGCATGCTCTACATATGAACAATTTCTACAATGAGGTAAATTCTTGACAAACAAGTTGATGAAACAAGAATTTCAGAAGTCTCTTTAAAGTCATCATTTCGTAAGTTTTATGTTCGATACAATGACCTTGTCAGGAAATACAATTTATCATTGATTCAAATGCTGTCTGCATGATGTTTTTCATACTTATTGTTAGTCCATTATTTATACACTGAATTGACGACGGACTTTTATGCTATTTCCTGATCATAACAAGGAGCACAAGGCGGGTGTGACCAGTCAGCAGGGGATGCCTACTCCTCCATGGCACTTGATCCCACCTCTGATGTTTTGGAGGTCCGTGTTTGCTCTGCTCCTATTTTGTAATGTTTAATGACTTTTGATCTGGAATACTGTTTGTTATTTCCATATGTTTCATTAAGTCTTCTATTTAAAAAAATTCTCAAACTAAAATAGCAAAAATATATGAAACTAATGAAATTTTTGTATGCTATGGAATTTATCAAACGCCAATTAAAATGTATTAAAAAATGATATTTTTTAAAAATGAAATTATTTTAACAAAACACCCCCACCTCTACCCCAAAGAACAAACGCAAAATCCCTTGAGATGAAAACAAAAGGTCTCTGTAGAGTCATTGTCTGATCAAAAAATAAATCGGTGCCTCAGCTCAGATCCTTATCCTGCTCATGGCTTACAGGGAAATCAGATGACAGTGTAACATTTCACACTAAAGTGATAAAATGAAAAGTTGTAACAAATTAAAAAACACCTAGCAATCATCAGCCCGGAGGTTCAATGACTTGTACTATACAATAAAGGTTGATTGTCACGAGACTACCTCATCTGTAATGCCTACCAAATAGAGCTCTTATTTAACGAAGGGTGTGAAAATTTTATTATTAAAAATGAAAAGACGCGAGAGAAAAAAAGAACTCACCATAGTCACCAGAGACGTGGGGGTTGGCATGCTTCCACTTGAACAAATCTGAAAATAAAATAACACTGAAAATAATGCAAAAACGAGGAAATATGATTTGTAAACCACTATCAGCTAAACTTCTTCGTGAGGAAAAATAAATTTCAAAATGCGATTGGCAAAATTTTTAAAATAGATGGAATGATGTGTTTAAAAGGTATCTATACATATTGAAACTTTTTTTCGGGGGGTGGGGGTGGGGGTAATTTTATTGTACGTTGTACCATATGAAGTACATATTTTTTTTTATAGGACTCTGAATTGAAAATTACAATATATCTTCATCAAATATCTTATGTAAAGATTTTTGGTGCTTTATTTGATTTCTGATCATTTCTGTAACAAAAAGACATGGTTAATCTGCTGAGACTCAATTCAAAGCAGGATATTTAAATAATGAGCAAAAAATTACTTGTCATGCTTCAATCAAGAACTGTGATACCAAATTTTTTTTTATTATTTATTTATTTATCCATTTCTGAAATTCACACCTCTGTTTTGATCCCTACAAATTTGCCATTAGTCAAGATGAAAAAAAAGGTCTAAATGTTGTAAAAGCAATAATACCTGACATCAAAATGTTAATAAAACATGCCAATTTCCCAGACAGGATCATTTATTCATAAGAGATAAACAGAGTACATAAAACCAGACTAGATCATAGTAGAATTGCATTCACTGGCAAAAGCCAGATATCAGAACTTTTCATCTTATAAAGCATCACTCAGGTGTGAACTATAAAATGAAACATTAGAAATCCATGTTTAATTCCAAGGTCACCTGATTCTGGGAGAGAAGTTTTATTGACTGTCGTCACCGAGCGTGAGTTGTACGTACTACGAGAACTTGTCTTTGACGTTCTGAAGTCAGAGTAATGTTTGTTGTTTTTCTATCAATGTTTGCGTGTCGAGTCACAGAGACTTGTACTGTAATACCTCTCTCTGAGACCCGACTCCTTGTAAATTACGATGGAAGAAAATGATAGGCTGTAGCTGAGATACTTTATCAAATTTTTCTAATTCAATCAGACAAATTTAATACGGATTGTAAATTACCATTATTACATTGTTAATTAGCAATTTTTAAAATATGGTTAGATAAGAGGTAAAAATATTCTAATATCCATAAACTGATGTTGAGTACTTATTTCAAACTCTTTCATGTGCTAAGTACATATGGTAAATCTGAGGCATGCTTTTTTTAAAGCCAATATCTTGTAAGTTCCAAAAAAAAGACACATTTGCAGGCAAGCCAAGATATAGTAAATCATTATGGACAGCTAAAGAAAGCTGGGTTATACACTGTTACTAATGCCTTATTCTCCAGTGTATGGGTGAAAAAAAATTATGTTATCTTCTACTGCATCAGGGTAAAAAATATATATATATATACCGGTAATCATATTTTGATCAGGCACTGGTGGGGAAAAAATCAATATTTGGGGTAGAAGAAAATTAATATTGTAATTTTTAATTGCATGTGCTGCAAAAATTACGAGTTCACTATTATCTAGGTACATTAGAGAAAAGAAAGAAAAGTCCAAAAATACTACAACGAACATCATTATACTTTGTAATGTATTAGATAAAAAAATTACAGTACGTAGCATTGCTTCCTTGTGCATGCAGAGGTGAAAAAATTTGTGTCATTACTTTCTTCATGTGCATAAAATAAAAAAAAAAGAAGAAAAAAAGACCATTTTCTAAATGTTATCAGTATGAATGTAAAGTGTTCACAACATCAATATTTTTTTTTCTGAACATGCTGACTTCATGCAACTCAACATCTGAGATTAGTTAAAAAAAAAAAAAAAAGAATTCTCATGCACATCTGTTTAGAATGTATAACAGTAAGAAGTTCTTAAAAAGTTTTTACGCTAGGACATATCGTACCTGACATAGATAAAATTTGATTTATTTGCTTTAAAAAGATTAATGAATACAAATGGTGATGCAATTTTTAAACATTTAATGGCGAGAATAAACATTTAATGATAATTCACTTCATTAATAATTTTAATTAATTTTAAAGGAGTATCTAGTTCAGATTGTGCTCAATGATATGTTCTTTTTTTCATTCTTTTATGTTTTGTTAAAAAAATGAAATTTTACTATGAAAACTGAAGGTCAAAAATCATTACAATTATACTTTTAATGAAAAATTGCAAAAGATAAAATTTAATAAATCACTATATCGATTCATCAGATAGATTCCAGTCTACTTAAAGTCATACGACACATTGTTCAAATATCTGTTCACTATCTCTTCATAATATAAAACAAGTTCATCAAAAGAATTATTATTATCTTGAGATTTAAACCATTTTCTAAATGTCTAAGTAGTTAAACTCAGATACCAAACATTGTCATGTTGGCAATGCTAGTGATTTTATTTTATGTAAATAACATCCTCTGGTATTTCACACAAATGCCTGGTAAAATATCTAATTTTTTTGTGAGAATTAAAACATGTTTTAATAGTAAAACTTCAACCTCATATTCTTAAAAATACTTTCATTTGAACATGTGCTTAACAATCATAGTTTATAAACATTAAGCAAGGTACATGTTTTAATCTGTTTAATTTAAAAAAAAAATGTGATTAATTTTTAATAATTATTCTTTAATACTGAGATTAAAATGTTTTAGTGGACAACAAGAAAGATACTGTAGACTTATGTTCTATTTTGAGATTATGTACTTCATCATTACATCATAGTAATTAATGAAGTTTCTGGTTATTCATGTAAAACTAGCTGTCATTTTCATACTATAAGCCTTTTTTTTTGTATATAAATGTTTGTTTTCTTACTTAAAGAGTTGACTTATTCATTAAATAATGGAGCAGCTGCATTTTACATATTATATCATTAACTAAAATAATATTAATTTTCATTAAAACATAAAATTTTCCTTTCACAAAATTCATAATTCATGAATACATTGCAGCATCTGCAGCTCCATGTAAAACATTCCTCCTAATGTCTGAAAATTATCACAAAATTGATTTTAAAAAAATTTCTCTAAAATAACCAAAAACCCAATAAAATGATAAACTTTAAATTTAGCCCTAAAAAGTTACTACTCTATAAGGAGCCCACACATTGCTGCACAGCACAAGTGCCACTGCATTCCTGCAACATGCAAACTTTTCTTCTACCATAAATGAAAAAAAAAGTGAAAATAAGAGCCTTGCCTACCTTTGTAGTACCACAGAGATTGACTCATGATGTCTGTGATAATGCATCAAAATCACTGACAGATCCTAGCCCGCCTTTAATTTTTATGGAAATATTGAAATTACCTATTTAAAATTCCATTTGCTAGGCTCTGCTTCATGTGTGCAGACTGATGCATAAAGCATTTCTACAAAATCAATAAAATTACACAAGCACTCCTGCACCATCTAAATTAGAAATAAAAATTCAAATAAAAAACACACACAGAAAGGAAGAGCCTTTGTAACTCAATACAACCTTCCTCAAATATCCTCATCTTTTTTCTTCTAGACCAAAAATAACCAAGCATATGTTGCACTACAAATTTAGCCATCATATATATGTATGATATCTCATGTAAACATGATTATTTTCTCTGTTTCTTGCCCCCCCCCTCCCCCCTCCCTCATTTTTCTTTTTGAAAACTGGACAGTTTTGACACAGTTAGAGTTGTGGCTCTTGACCTAGGCTATTTAACTAGGTGTTCTGGATGTAGGTATTCTATGAAAGACATGCAGGTAATCAGTTCTTGGAAACATTAACAATAAATCAATTTTTTTTGTATGAATATACATAAAAAGATTCAGTAAATCATGGTGGCAAATACTAGATTGACAAGAAATGTGCCAATTAAACAATTTCTGATATATTACTTATTTAAAAATTATCTCCATTATTTGCATTTCTGAGCAGAATCTTTGTCTTTGATATGGAACTCCCATGCAAAAAAGATTGAGAGGTCACCAAAATTCAATCTATCACACTTATAACACCAATTAAATTTTCCGTATACCTGCATCTTAAATACCTATTATCCTTTTCAAGGTTGTCGATATTAAAAAGGTGACAATTTAGTAGTATCATCGTACTTCGTCATTGAATGCCAGATGTCGGAAGGTAAAATTCATAAGATTACACAATTTGACCTACAGACCACCATCACACATTATACTCAGAGTCAAATGAAGGACTGTGACCCCTTGAATCATTCATGTCTGCCACCAGGTGGGATTTAAATAAGTAACATTTCTAAGTAAGGAACTGACTTCATATTTATCTTCTTCCAATGCATAATAAATGATATACTACAACTCTGTCAAACCCTTCCTTTTACATTAATGGAAACTTAAGAGAAGAAATTTGGATACCTGTAACTGCTAAAAATTCTCATTCTCAAAGATTCAACACCTACTTACTCTTGAAATGTCTGACAATTCGTCTTTTTATGGAATGTGTTACATTCCAAAAATAAATGAAATTTTTGATAATTACACCTACTTGGACAGTTCAAGATCAAACCAGCTAGCCCCTAGATATCTCAGCTTAATCCTATTCTCCACATGTATATCAACTAGCCACTAGGAATGTGAATACAACTGATTTAAGTTGCTATCTTTGGACTTTGCACCAAACATCAAATATTTAAAAGAGTTATTGCTAGAATAATATCATAGTAGCTAATAATTATCTGCTACAACCTTGAATGTGCCTCATTTGTGACACTGTAGTAATTAAGGACCTAGTTTTTTTGATTTGTGGTTTAGCTGTCATTGAAGATGCAGACTTGCGCAACACACCAGAGGACAATGACCTTAGGAAGTGAAAAGACCTAATTAAACACACAAAAATTTGCATTGTATATGCATTAAATTTAATGCTAAATGCAGACGAAAGTCTACATAAATAAATAATTATTCTTTTACGAGACTTGTACAATCTAAATTTTAAATAAAGAGAGGTATATTTTGAGCAAAATTCAACTTCTCTAGATATTATAAATGACTTCTTAATA